CGGGGCCTTGCCCTAGTCCCTCTCCTGGGCCAGCAACCTCCAGTTGTCTGCCACAGGTGAAAATACATCCTGTAGATGTGAGTATTTGCTATGTACCTGCCACTATGTTTTTGAAGAGGGCTATTTATTCTTAATTTTAAAAGCTGTAGAATTAAACATTTTACGTTTCTCCTGCTAAACATAAGTTGCCCCTTCACTCCTTGTTACTATCTGCTCTATCCTGCTGCAAGCTGATTGTCCTGACAGAAGAAAACGGAGATGAGCCTCCGTGTTGCATTCATGTTCACAAATTAGATAAAACCTGGCTGGTTCCGCTGTAGCTCTCAGGACGGATTTGCCTGCAGATATGCAGTCTCTGAGCTGTGACTCGGATGATTTTATGAGAATTAAAATGATATGGCGTTTCTTTGTCTTTCCTCACGTTCCTTTTATGAGCCTTGAGGTTAGTCATTCATTCCTGCAATGCTCTCCCCAGCTCACTTGGTTAATAAGGAAAAAAAAGAAAAGTCCAGTCCTCTCCAGTATTTAGCTTAGAAGCTTAGTTTTATTTTACGTCTCTTGGTGCTCCTGTCCAGGGTCTAGCCTTCATGTGACTGCACACTGGTTTCTGTCCTTTCTGTTGACAACTTCCTATTGCAGCTCTACAGTCTTGTGCCTTTGACAGGTTGATGATGAGGTTTTCGTCGTAAATCCAGAAGCCACCAGAACTAAGAACATCTGCGTTTGTTTGTCTGACACGGCAGTCCCCACCTCCTTTTTCTGCTGGCCTGTTGCAGTTTCTCATGAGAACTTCTGTCCGTGTCATTCACGGGTTTTCTTCTCCCTGCAGGTTTTGCATGCAGAAGTGTGTCCGTCTGGTGCCTGGAGTCACGCTGGATCTGATAGAAAAGTGAGTATGATTTTCAGGCTCTCGCAGCTTTCTGGAGCTGACAGGATTCTTCTCCTTTTCCCACTCGGATCTCAGGGGTGCTTTACTGTCAGCATAGGGACGTCCTCTTTCATGTAGATGTGTCTTTTGTTCTCTAGTTAAGGCTCTGTTTGTGATTTATACTGGTGCCTAGTGTAAAACGGGCCACATTAACAGAGAAATAATAAGCTTATTTTTTGGAACATCTGAAAATACTCCAGACTCTAAGCCAAAGCAAAAACCCATCGCTACACGTACGAATCATTTCTGCTTTCCTGACTGAAATGGCTGGATCGCAGCTTAGATTTACCTTATTTATTTTGTAGCTTTTCATTCTGCCTGCCACCCATTTTCCCATCTCAGGGCGTACTGATTCCAGATGGTGAATGATGAAACACCCAGGTTCAGCGAGGAGATGTCCTTTGGGGAGCCTTTTTAAAAATCACACTTGCCTCCCGTAGTCCTTGCGGGCCCATGGACCCACTTGTCTGCCTCCAGTTTTGAATCTCTTTGGATCTGAAATAATATCTCATGACTCTAAACTTGACCTGCATATTTTTGTTTATTTGTTTATATGTGCATTTGACTGACTCATCTTAAGTTATTCTCATTCATCTAGGCAGTATGAGAAAATTATGGGTTGTTTAAAACCCCATGTCTTCTAAAATTAACATACAAGATAATTGTCTTCCACATCTTGGTATACAAAACTATGTATTAAAATAGCTAAGGCCTGAATTTATTAAATTAAATAGGAAAAGAAGAGCTACTTGTAAGTTTCTCTCCTAGAAAAGTGCTTGCCTTGTATATACAGGAAAATGTACAAGGCTGTTATGCCTAAATGTCCACCAGTAGTACCATGAGATCAACGGGGCGCGTCCATAGCAGAGCACTCACCATGTGGCAGGTGAGCAAACAACCACTATGCTGGGGTGACTGGGGCTGTCCACCAGATGTGTTGTGAGAGGAGAGATACACACTGTAGAACGCCGAGAGTGTTTTCCAAACAAGGCACACTCTGTGTGTGTAAATGCACGTGAAAAGCGGCACGATACAATACATGTGGGGTTCACTCTGGGTAGGAAAGTGGAATTTGGAAAAATGAGAGGGACAAGCAGCGTTAAGGGACTTTGACTTTTTTCTGTCTTATTTAATTTTTTTTTTTACAAAAGTGTCATCATGTAAAATACATGTCCAGGTAAATTTAAGAGAAAGAATCAATAACATATAATGAGGACATCTGCAAACAATTCACTGCAAGTAGTTTCTCTTAGATTTTGAACAAATGTCTAAGGAAATCCTGTGACGGGTCTCTGCATTTGTCTGCTTTAGACGCTTTGGTTCACAGCACAATGGGATAACTGTGACCAGAAAGAATCAGTGCAACACTGATCGGTGCCAGCAAGGTAAAGAAAAGCTTTGGCTGTCCCTCAGCCCCAGAGTAGGTCTTGGTGATCACAACCCCCCACTCCAGATGGCAGTGAATCAGAATCCTCTGTTGGAAAGGTGAGGCTGGCCCAGGCAGGGGTGTGAGCTCCAGGTTATCAGTAGGTTGAGGGCACCAGCTCTGAGGTCGTGGGGAGCTTTGCAGGGCATGACTGAGGACCGGCAGGTCAGCTGTATTCAGAGAGCTTACTGTGTTACTCCTCAGGCCACACAACTGGAAAGTCACTTGGCCCAGCTCAGACACAGCAGGAAAAGCAGGGCGTACAGAGCATGGGGGTGGCAGTAGGCTGAGCACACATGGTTGGCCTGGTGTTCACAGTGATCACTTACAGTGCAGATTTCAGGCTCTCGTTCCACGTGTCACCAACGTCCTCCCCTCAGTAGGTGGTCTGATGCGTACAAGTTACCAGTTGTCCACTAGCTGCTTTTAGAAGTTGTTTATGGCACACCTGTGCATCCCGGGCACACATTTGCTAATTCTCTGCAAATGGTCATCGATGAAAGAGCCTCTGCTGACCTCGACAACCTGGAGTTGTCCACATGGTGCCTCGTCCTCTTCCTGTCTGCTCTGTGCTCTTCCTGCTCATGGTGCTGGTGGGACATGGGGTCAGCATGGCAGACGAGGGCTGAGCGACATAGGTTTAATGTGTCCGCTCTTAAAGACTCTCCCAGCTTACCCAAGTCCCAGGCAGATGTTCACAACTCCCGCCTGGGCAGGCATGGGCTCAGGTTGCTGAGGTTCTAAGCCAGGCCACCGAGGGATATGATGCAGACACCTCAAGGCAGTACTGGGGCTTAGAAAGCCACTGGCAAATGCTAGACTGATAGCATGTAACTGGGAAACATCACATGGAAAAGAGTTTTACAAATAAGAAAAGACGAGACAAAATGATCTGTCATGTCCATCAGTCTGCTTTGGTGCCTTGGCGAGACTGCAGTTTTGCAAAGCTGTTTTCTTAGAACTCTACTTTCCAATCATTGCTGTGGTCCTTCTTTTGGGTTTTTATTTCCCCATCCATTTCCTGAATTATAGAACTCTGTATTACTTATGCTATATACAGGTATTGTCACATGTACACATACACACTGTATAGATATAATTTCTTAAGTAAACCATATCCACTGAAATTTCAGCCAAGTTACCTTTTATTGTAAGTAGGTTGCTTCTGTTGGTTTGAATAAGTTCTTGATTCTTTTTTTTTTTTGCCTGTTTGACTCTTTCCAGAGTTTCCTCTAAATGTGGACAGGGTTGTGTTATCCCTTCCCCATTGGCAAGGGCAGCAACTGTGCCCAGATCCCCTGCCCGCATGCTGCACAGCCTCCCAGCACTCCATGCAGATGGCCCAGGAGTGTGCCGTCCCCTCCTGGCCACTGCAGATGAGACTCTGCTCATGTTTATCGAGCCACATGGACTCAGACAAACAGCATCACATGTTCTGAGACTCCAGAGGAAGAAAAAAAGAGCTATTAAAAATCACCTAGTAATTAAAAAAAATTTTTTTTAAGTTATTAATCAAACCCCCTTATTTGACTGAAAGGGAACCTGGCATTTATTTCCATTCAGCAGAGTGACATTTTCTGCCTGATAAGTGGCAGGACCAGCCAGGAGGATGGTCTCTGAACAGCCCTTCTGTGGTCTTGCTCACCATACAGAGGTCCTCCTTTGACCAAAATGTTGGTGTCAGGACAACCACCTCCTTTTCCTTTCCCTTTCTGAAACTTAAAATGGGCACAGCACGGGCCGGCCCCGTGGCACACTCGGGAGAGTGTGGCGCTGGGAGAGCAGCGATGTTCCCGCCGCGGGTTCGGATCCTATATAGGACTGGCTGGTGTGCTCACTGGCTGAGCGCGGTGCGGGCGACCCCACACAAAGGGTTGCGATCCCCTTACCGGTCACGAAAAAGACAAAAAAAAAAAAAAAAATGGGCACAGCACCATGGCATCCTAAGCATGGTCCACAAAAAAGAGAAATCGGCAAATGTTTACTCCATGAAAAATACTCCTAGTAAGTGAAAAGACAAGCTGCTGACTTGGATACAATATTTGCAAATCACATACCTGACAAAGGACACTCGTATGCAGAACGTAGTAGGAAATATCAGAACTCAAAAACAACAGACATAAAACCCAATGAAAAAGTGGGTGAAACACATGAAGAGACACTTCACATAAGAGGACTTAAGGGTGGCAGATGTGCACATGAAGAGGTTCTCAAAGTCACCACCCATGCGGCCAGCAGCCAAAAAATCACAAGGAGGTAAGTTCAAGTCAAAACCGCTGTGGGATGTCACTGCGTGCCTGCTAGAGCAGATGGAGTTCCAGACTGACCACGCCAGGTGCTGGAGAGGGAGCCCAAGTGCTGGGAAGGCAGAGAGGCACAGCCACTCCTGAGGAGTTCGGCAGCTGCTCCTTTTTTTTTGGAAGCTGGCCAATCTGGGGATCCAAACCCTCAACCTTGATCTTGATGTTAACAACACCGTGCTCTAACCAGCTGAGCTAACCAGTTATACATTTCCTTGTAACTTACCCTGTGGCCCAGCGGACCTCCTGCATACATGCCCTGGAGGAGTGGAAGCTTCTGTTCACACAGAATCCCATACATGGTGTTTATAGAGCTCTATTCATCATCACCCCAAACATGGAGTAGTCAAAGGTCCTTCATGGCATGAATGAATAAACAGACAGGTGCATCCGTACGATGGGCACTGTCAACAAGAAAATGGAGCAGACTTTTGATACACACAAACATTCCCAGAAACATTGTGCCGAGTGAAAGAAGCCAGTCTCCAAGAGTGGCATACAGTCCAATTCCATTTCTGTGATATTCTAAAAAAGTATAGTGTCGGAGAACAGATCAGTGGTCGCCAGGAGTCAGAAGTGTGAAGAGGGTGTGAAGCGGGCTGGCAGGAGGGAGTTTGGGGGTGATGGACTGTTCCATTTCCTGATTGCAGTGTGGTTTCACCAATCTATACGTGTGTTATAACCCATAGAACTGTACACCAAAAAAGTCATTTTGCTATATGACCAGTTAAATAAAATTAATATGTAATGTGGGGGAGTAAAAAGAAACACCAGAAGAGAGTGTAGGCCAACATAACTAAAGCACGGCAGGGTGGCCACTGCCGTGGACAGCAGGTGACTCTCCCAAGAAGTAAGGGGTGTAAAGACGCTGGAGAGTCTGGAAGTGTCACCATCCATCCCCTGCTTCATGGTCAGCAGGAGGTCGCTCTTCGTTCCAAAGCCACCTCCTCCCCAGCTCTTGTCACAGCTGGGAGCAGTGGGGTTGTGGTCTTTAACCAGCACCCTATGATACACATTCACCTGAGAGTCATCTTCCTGGCCACAGGAGTAAGCCACACTGGAGCAGAGGCACTGCCTACCAGCCCAGGTAGCGCAAGTGGTTCTTTTTAAAAATTTCCAAGTAGCTAATGTTTCAAGAAGCCCAGAATAATTCAAAATATATAAATTTTTGAGCAGTTGAGAGATCTTAATAAAAACACTTGTACAGTATTGGCAAAGCTGTCATCGTGGGTGCT